CCGTCCGTGTAAATGTGACACCAATTTGGCCAATTTTCGTGTATGTATGCTAGTGTGGTAGTTTTAGCTATGTTTGGGTCGGTTTGTTTATTTATTTGGCTAGCTAGTGTTGTGTCTATTTTGGGTATTTTAAGTTTAGGGGTGAAGATATTTGATTGTTTGCAGTTTTGTTTAAGATTTTTAATTTGGTGTTCATTTAGGTAGTTTGTTATTCTTTGGGATATTGGGGTAAGTAAGGGGTGTTTACGAGCTAGAGCTTGGTTTTTGGGGCTGATGTTTTGGTTTATTAAGTTTTGGATGAGAGGGTTTGATTGGGACGCGGCCCAGAAATTTAAGCTTAGCTGTTCCCTGCGTAGACTTAGTGGCATTTCTCCTGTTAAGGCCTGAAGTGAGGTGAAGGAGGTGCCATGTTGGGTGCGTGTAATTAGTTTGAGAGCCTGATATTGTATTGAGTCAAGTTTTTTAGATAGAGAGTTGTTTAGGGTGTTGTATATGGCGCAGCCGTAGTCTAGTTTTGATCTAATTAGTGATATGTAGAGAGAGAGGAGGGTATCTTTGGATGCTCCCCAGTTAGAGCCAGTTAGGCATCTTAGGGTGTTTAGGTCTTTACTGCATTTAGTTGTTAGGTTTTGGATGTGAGCATCCCAGGTGAGATGTTCATCGAAAATAAGTCCTAAGAATTTGGTTTGTTTTTGAAATTTGATTGTTTGATTGTTTAGCTGGAGGATTGGGGAGGCGGGTTTCATGTTTTTATGTTTGAATACTATTCCTGTTGTTTTTTCTGAGTTAAGGGAGAAGCCCCATTTGTCAGCCCATTGTTGTATTTTATTAAGAGATTTTTGGAGTAAATTTTGGACCATGTTCATGCTTTTAGTGCGGATCCAGATGGCTCCATCATCCGCGAATTTTGATGTGTTTACTTTAGGGGATAGGCCCTCGAATAGATCGTTTATCATTATATTGAAGAGGGTGGGGCTGAGGATACTGCCCTGTGGAGTACCATTTTCTAGGGGACATTGGTCCGATAGAGTTTGGTCTATACCCACGGTTATTTTACGATTGTTTAGGAAGTCCTGGATGTAGTTTATTATCTGACCTTTGAGTCCTATTTTTTTAAGTTTTTGTATTAGCCCATCGTGCCATACCATGTCGAAGGCTTTAGAGAAGTCTAAGAAGATGCCTGTGGTATATTGTTTATTTAGTTGTCCTGTCTTAATATCTTGTTCTAGTCGGGCAAGGTTATCTAGGGTTGAGCGGCCAGGAGTGAAACCGCTTTGATCTGGGTTTATGATGTTATTTTGGGTTAAGTAATGTTGTAATCTATTTTTAGCCATTGATTCCATTACTTTACATAAGTTTGAAGTTAGGGATATTGGTCTATATGAGTTAGCTTGATTAGCTGGTTTATTAGGTTTAGGGATTGGTATGACTAGGGCCTGTTTCCAGGGAGTAGGAACCTGTCCGTTTAGGTAGATGAGATTGTATAGTTTGAGTAGTGCCTGGAGTAGTTTTAGGGGGAGTTTTTTAATTATTTGGTAAGAAGTTAGGTCTAATCCTGGGGCTGTGCCCTTTTTCCTGTTTTGGATTACGTAGAGGAGCTCCTCCATTGTGTAGGGTTGATTTATTTCTAGATTGTTATTGTTTGGTTCTTTTGTGGGTTTGTTTTCTGTTTTAAGTTTATCTTGGAATTTTTTACTGAAGTTGGTGTGCTGAGTAACTACATGGAGTTAATATATATACATGACGATACGTTTACACAAGGTGGGATAAATGTACACAAATAACAATATAATGACGACGCCAATGATGTTTACAGGAGAGAAGCCAATTACAGTGAAGGTCTAGTGATTGGCCTAGACGTAACAAGAAGGAGCCGACAATGGTAACACTAACACTCACTCACTAATACAGGAGAGAAGCCAATTACAGTGAAGGTCTAGTGATTGGCCTGGACGTAACAAGAAGGAGCCGACAATGGTAACACTAACACTCACTCCCTAATACAGGAGAGAAGCCAATTACAGTGAAGGTATAGTGATTGGCCTGGACGTAACAAGAAGGAGCCGACAATGGTAACACTAACACTCACTCACTAATACAGGAGAGAAGCCAATTACAGTGAAGGTCTAGTGATTGGCCTAGACGTAACAAGAAGGAGCCGACAATGGTAACACTAACACTCACTCACTAATACAGGAGAGAAGCCAATTACAGTGTAGGTCTAGTGATTGGCCTGGACGTAACAAGGAGCCGACAATGGTAACACTAACACTCACTCACTAATACAGGAGAGAAGCCAATTACCGTGAAGGTCTAGTGATTGGCCTGGACGTAACAAGAAGGAGCCGACAATGGTAACACTAACAGTGTGGCAATCAAGATGTACATTTGTAGTTGATGTCACAAATGGACTTCTTGACTCATACCTTTCACAGGTACCGTTATCAAAGGATAATTTAAGTTTGTGTTTTACTGAAGAGCTGATCCATCATTTTTCTGTTTCATAGAATTGAATTCGTTATAGGACAACATCTAAATATTCATGTTGCAAGTTAACATTTTCTTGTCAGTGTGGTTAAAATATCCATTTTCACAAGAACAGGCGGATCAACTTGGAACTCCATTGAACAAGACCCACCTTGTTTCACTTTGAGTTGCCTCGTGGCGTAGTACGAAACGGGATAGCATAATACCTCAGGTGGTCAATACCTTTCACACTCACTCACTAATGGCTACAGTAATGTAGGCTCACGCAGGCACGCACGCACGCACGCACTCACTCACTCACTCACTCACCAACTCACCCACCCACTCACCCTAATGGCTACAGTAATGTAGGCCCACTCACTCACTCACTCACTCACTCACACGACTACAATAGTGTTGGCCCCTCACTCACTCACTCATGACTACAGTAGTGTTGGCCCCTCACTCACTCACTCACTCACTCACTCACTCACTCACTCACTCACTCACTCACTAATGACTACAGTAATGTAGGCAACTCACTCACACAATCAACGACCACTCCTGAATCATGCATATCTACTTTTCTTCGGACACATCATAGGATGTTTTTTGGATTGACAGGGTTGACTTTGATGAAATCAAACAAGCAACTAAATAGATGGCGACCTCTTTAAGTATACTTTGATGAAGATATAAGCAAAATTGTGGATACAGATGCTGTCACAGTTGGGTAAAGATCCATACAGTTGCTTGTTAATATCATACAACTCATTACCCAGGAAGGAGAAAGTGCCATGCATAATAAGGCAATCTTGGCGACTTCTGACTTTGTCACATCGATGCCGATGTCGTAGGCTGGCAAGTGGCATGGAATGAGGCCTATTTGTTGGTACACTGAATGACTAAAACATGAATAAACCTTAGAGCTTTGATAAAAGCATCTGTAAAGTAGTAAAGTAGTTTTATTAATAGAAATGACATACGGATATAGATCAAGGCAAATCATCCAATCAATAAAATTAGCCACAGAAGTGATATTAATATCTCTATCAATTAATCTATCGCCACCTGTCAATCTAACAACATGATTGACAACAAGTCAAAAAGTGTGAAATGACAAATCATTTGCAACTTCTACCCTTGAAAATGTTTTACTGTGCATTTGACTATTATATACAGATCTCCACACGTTTAGCAATTAAAATGTATCACGAACTATTGGAATACACAATGATGGAGGAAATATGTCACTCATGCATAGTGTGAAAACATTACTATCACCATACCTATAACATGTCATGTTATTAGAAATATGAAGATTAAATGAAAAATATAAGTTGATGACATACTCTTGCTTGCATTTTGTTGTGTGTGCTTTTAACTCCAAACTCGTGAAAGTGAAAGTATGAAAGCAGCAGCCGAACAATAACTTTTTACAACGCATTTTGTTCAGAAGATCAAACATGTCCAGTGAGCAAATAATTGCTTTTGTAAAACCTCAGGACAAATTATAGATTTATGGATATTCCCAGGCTCCTGAAGAGCATATTAAGAGCATAAAGAGATACATATTTTTGCACAGAGTTGTGTCCCTTTGATCACCTGTCAAACCACACCCTGTCCCTTGTAAACCATGAATACAAATTCACCTGCATGGGTGTATAGCATTGTTTTCCTTGAACATCGCTACGGCAAAGATTTCCTTATCTCCTGTGTGTCTGGGATATGACTGATGGGGAGCGTATTGTCCGAATTGAGTTGAATGTTGTTACTATTATACTCTACTCAATACCCCAGATTGTAGGAATAACTGATACAAATTAGTACATTTACAGAACTCAACCAGTTCTCACAGCATCCACACATTATTATATCCGCTGTAGATCACCGAACGCTAGAGGTGTTTTATCAGAGTTAAGCGCCCCTTTAAAACATTAGGAGATGGGTTGTCGAACTGATAACCTAAAGACCGATGGCATGTACAATTATGTGAACAGGTTACTCCATAACAACACACGTCAGATGTATAGTACAGTACACTACACAACACAACATTACTGTTCTATAAACAACATATAACAACAATACTGTCCAATATCATCTGTCTAGGTCACGTGATCTCTCGTGTAGTGTTGTCCTCATTCAGTGCTGTCATTGTGCCTTCCTTTCACAAATGTACTTGAGAAGTACTTCTATCAGGTCAGACTTCTACTGGTGCTAGGTCTAATTGAGAAGTACTTCTATCAGGTCAGACTTCTACTGGTGCTAGGTCTACTTGAGAAGTACTTCTATCAGGTCAGACTACTACTGGTGCTAGGTCTACTTGAGAAGTACTTCTATCAGGTCAGACTACTACTGGTGCTAGGTCTACTTGAGAAGTACTTCTATCAGGTCAGACTTCTACTGGTGTTAGGTCTACTTGAGAAGTTCTTCTATCAGGTCAGACTACTACTGGTGCTAGGTCTAATTGAGAAGTACTTCTATCAGGGCAGACTTCTACTGGTGCTAGGTCTACTTGAGAAGTACTTCTATCAGGTCCGACTACTACTGGTGCTAGGTCTACTTGAGAAGTACTTCTATCAGGTCAGATTACTACTGGTGCTAGGTCTACTTGAGAAGTACTTCTATCAGGGCAGACTTCTACTGGTGCTAGGTCGACCTTTATTTAATCAATGACGTGATGAACTACGTGTGTAAGGGAAGAACTGGATCCGATCTTGACCTAAAGCAACTTTCGAAATATTCAACTGTGTATGGAGATCAAAGTTATTTCTATTTCTACATTCAGCGCTTGCAGAATTTGAATACTTTTACATATCTGTCAGACGTAACATACAGCAGGCCGTCAGCATCAAGACAGACACCACGAGGACATTTAAGACCATCCTGTTGTGTGAGGACATCTCTGACAAACTGCCCCGACTCTGTCAGCTGAATCACCTTGCGGGAGTATTTGTCTACAAGCAGGATATCTCCTGTGCTGGTTGTTGTGACACCCCGAGGACATGTCAGAGCTCTGACTCCTGTTGGAGTGTAGGTGAAAACAGCGTCCCCTTCACTGGTCACACATACAAGGGATTTTACTGCAGCTTCACTGACTAGCAAGTTGTTGTTTCTGGTGACGTGGATGTAGTCTGGAGTCCCTATCACCCCCGTGTTGATAGACCTCAGTATCCTCCCTGCCATGTCGAGTATGTCCACAGAGTGAGACTGTCCCCATGTACCTGCCGCCAGCTGTGAAGGACTCAGACAGGCTAGAGCCCAGTACTTCTTTCTTGTTTTGATAGTTGACAGCAATACAGGGCCTGGGGTAACATTCACTGTAACTATTTCCTGACTGTCTCGAACACTGACCGCTATCTGACTCTCACTTAACTTGGCTATTTGCCAAGGCTCACTAGAAAGCAGGAGCTGATTATGAAAACATTTGAAGTTTGATGTGTAATATGTTTTGAGTCTCTTGTTATTGTAATCTGCAACTACCACAACTTTGATGCCATCAACAGTCAACACTGTGACGTCACGCACCGAAGAATCCTTCACGTCCCCATCTTCCTTGCAGTCAATGGTGTGATGTAGAACAGGAGAAGACTCAAGGTCACTCACATCATGGACAACTTCAACCTCCCCCAGCTGTAGCTCATCAACTGCTTTACTCAGCTTGTCCAGGTCGTGTGTGAATATAACCCTTCCTGCTGCTGGTCTGGTGTCCGTGTCTCTGTTGTCTGTAGACGTCTCACCCATCGACTCATAGACGGCATACATGTCCATCTCACAGTTGGACGTCACAGCATTGGCTGTGAACTCATACTGCTGCTGGTACATCTGTAGCTCGATCTCCTGGGATTTTATATCTGCTTGTAACTCATGTAATTGTTCACCAGAAGCTTTGTCGATGGCATCAAGGAGTTGCTTCTCTTTTCTTAAAATAGCACGCATCACTGTTTCCCGTGTCTTCATGACTTGATCTTTAACGTCCTGTGAATTACTCTTCACATCTTGAATTGTAGATTTTCTCCGGGTTATGTTATTATTAGTAGCCGCCATGTTGATTCTGAGCTGCTCTATTTTGTTTGTCAGTTGTTCCTTCACAAGAGGGGTGGTGCTCTCTATTGTATCAACATCCTTACATGCCCTGTGTTTTATACTGCAGCATATCGTGCATATTGCCCGCTTGCAGTCTTTACAGAACAACTCTATCGGTTTGTCTCTGTGGACTTGACACATGAAGCGCCGCTTTGCCTTTGTTTTGGTGTGATCAGACAAGTGAGCTACTTCATGGTCACACAACACTGGCATCATGTTGTGCAACTGGAGACATCCTTCACAGTACACAACATCGCAGACAGAGCACCAAGAAGTGGCGGGAGTTGTCTTTCCTTGTTTTGTACAAACACTGCACAAGTTTTCCTCCACAGCTAAAACAAACAAGTGTGTTTTATTTCATTTGTCAGAAACATGACAAAAATCGCACATCATCTAAAGAAATAGAAACATGTAACACATAAGTTTTGTCCTAAACGGCCACGCCCTTTCTGGAGGTGAACATATCCTATGAAACAGGTTGTAACGAAACAATGATGCTGTCTCACAATGTTGTCAATCATGAGCTACAGGTAATCATAACACACAAGATTATTATTTGGTGACTAGATATGCAATAACAGATGCATATTAGGAACTGAGGGCGTTACAGCGTCTTTATAGATGGGAGCCTTAACTAACAGACGAGTTAACATAAACGTTTTCATTTAACATGCTTTGTAACAATGTAGGGCCATGGCACAACCAGTAGGATTACCTGTAACTAAAAATCAACCCCACAGTTCTGTCAACACATCCCTGTGCTAGCTGTGGCATGTCACCGTGGAGGGAGACAAAGATCAACACCACAGTTCTGTCAACATATCCCTATGCTACCTGTGGCATGTCACACTGGAGGGCGACTGGGATCAACTCCACAGTTCTGTCAACACATCCCTGTGCTGGCTGTGGTATGTCACAGTGGAGGGCGACTAAGATCAACTCCACACTTCTGTCAACACATCCCTGAGCTACCTGTGGCATGTCACAGTGGAGGGAGACAAAGATTAACCCAACACTTCTGTCAACACATCCCGTCCCAGCTGTGGTATGTCACAGTGGAGGGCGACTAAGATCAACCCCACAGTTCTGTCAACACATCCCTGTCCTATCTGTGGCATGTCACAGTGGAGGGCGACTGAGATCAACCCTACAGTTCTGTCAACACACCCCTGTGCTAGCTGTGGCATGTCAAAGTGGAGGGCAACTAAGATCAACTCCACAGTTCTGTCAACACATCCCTGAGCTACCTGTCGCATGACACAGTGGAGGGCGACAAAGATCAACCCCACAGTTCTGTCAACACATCCCTGTCCTAGCTGTGGCATGTCAAAGTGGAGGGCGACTAAGATCAACCTCACAGTTCTGTCAACACATCCCGTCCTAGCTGTGGCATGTATTGTAGTCCCTATTCAGGATAAGGAGACACAAATTGTGACATTTATATGCTAGCTTGTCATACAGATTGTATTAATAACTGGACATGAAATTTATGTTGATTTCATAAAATTATCGTGATAGGTATTTTGGTTCATCGGAAACTCTTTATTGCAAACGGAATGTAATTTATTTGCCTTTGCAGAAATGTGTATCCTGCATCAAAATCTATTAACATGAAGTCAAAATAAGCAATCCTGTGCGTGAATACTTGTATATGTACACGTGTGTGGTTGTTTACATACCTTTTAAAAGGGTATATCAGTCAGAAAGAACAATAATAAGCTGATTACCCTTTGTGTCGGGTCCAAAGTCATCCATCAGCCCCTGTATGACGTGGCTTGGTTTCAGCTGACTGACCCACTCCTCTACTGGACTGTCAGGGTTGGTCACATTCGTCAGTTTTCTACAGGAGGGACATGGGATGGACCCGGCTTGTACTGCTTCCGGCTGTGTGTAGGTGTATTTCAGCAGACAGGACTTGCAGAATGTATGATGGCACTGAAGTGTTGCAGGGTCTGTGAACACCTCAGAACAGATGACACAGGTGAGGTGGTTCTCTGTCAGATTCTTAGCGGTCGCCATCTGAAGTAAAACCGATAGTTTAGTGAAGTATATATGCACATGTTATAGACAGAATCATACAACATGTACATGAATGCATCATCCCCAACGTCCCAAGACGTGACATCATTACATGTACAAGACAATGAGTCAGGAGTTTACGTGACAACACGTCGCCCCATTGCATGTTTATCTGTGGAACATCATGACTCTTATGTTTTACGTAAGTTGCCCTGAACCTCAAATACCACACAGTATCATGATACCATTTCACGTTTTCCCCTAAGTAATGAATATGTACATTCCATGAAGTGGAGAGACTGGGTGGAATGTATGCCATGTTTTTCAAACACATGACATAAGAATTAATGCACATGGATATTAAAATTAGTTTCAAACAACGATCTTAATTCAACAATCTAGACTTATTTCAAACCGAAACAAGAACAACAGTCGTTTAAGCCATGGACACATTTCCATAAACACAGGTTGATGTTTCAGCTTCTTGTAGTGAAAGGTAAATCAGGTTTGAAACACACACCACACCTCCCCCGAGTACTGCACGTACTTCAATACTTTACTCCCTGGTTGCCCGTCACCCCACACCCCTCACGTGACCTTACCAGGTCAAGACGGCGAGTAGACAGTGGTGAAAATTATGTGAATAGATAACTGGAAATCAGTGTCGACACCAGGTGTTCGCTTCTGCTGTGCAACGTTAGGCAACAAACGTTTACTTCATGGGTGAGTAAAAGCTTAAAGTCTTCATTGTCTTCATGACCGGATACGGATTGTCCACACACACGCACGCCCGCAGACTCAAATACACAAATCACACACACACACACAACAGACAAAATCATACAGGCATATACTGTCATATGACTGATATTAAACATACATGCAAGCCGATGATGCTTAAAGGGACATAACTCTGATCCAACCTTGTTATCGCCACAACACCTCCCCCGACCCGAAGAACTTACCTATCGTTCATGTGGTGTTTCCAGCACGCATGTTAATGTACATAAAACGCAATCTTCACTTAGTCAGCAAATCAAATGACCCGAGTATGCTAATGTGCGGGGTAGGTGGGTGGACACCAGCAGACGTTTCAGCTAATTCCTACTTTCGTTATAACCGGTAACTACTGGTACCACGACCTCAGATAAAAGCAGTCGAAAATCTGTCTGCCCAGCTCCGTGTTAATTGATTTTGATAACAGTAACCTTGCGTGTGTTGCCTTTCATCAGCGATGACGATTCAGCTGCTAACTGACATTGTACAGAACCATATGGATGGACGTTAAAGCTCATTTCCACTTTCGTTATAAGTTATTACTGCTTGTGTTAAAAAGGCAGACGATAATCTGTCTGCCCAGCTCCGTGTTCCACAGTTGAACCAATCAACTCAACTCGAAAGGGTGCACGGGAATCACGCACATCCGAATACGGTGTTAGCGTTGGGCTTCTCAACATGCGTGATTCCCGTGCATATCATATGGCCCTGTGACGCAGGGGTAGCATTATGCAGATGGCTGTTACAATGAATGCTCGTTCCACCCGTGACGAACAGGTCTGGTTGTTGATGAAATATAGTGATAGCTAAACAGACAGGTTTTTTATTCATGCACCGATTGTCTTTAAATGTAATATCCAGTTATGTATGAATGTTTAATAATCTCATACCAACTTTGACTGCAGTAGGTCCAATATTTTTTCAGACATTGTAGTAAACGTCCGTATCTTAAATTACCTTCCAGACTATTTATGGATGTAATCATGGTGGACACCTGCTGGATATGTCAATGTCAAGTCTACTCACTGTGTTAAAGTCCTCTGCCCTTGCGTGTATAGAGTAAAACATAGGTAACACAACCATGTACTGTCATATAATGTAAAATCTATACGTGTGTATGTGCAATGGCGTCTAAATATGTGACATACCTCTATTACAACGTGGAGCTCTCTTCTCTGAAGTCGCCTCTCTTCCTGATTCCTGGAATAACTACAACCCGCTCGTCGCCTGTCGTGTTAGGTAGATCACGTGATCTGGTTTGTGCAGGTATGTACTTGTATCTCATTAGAAGCAACTTTGTGCGACTCTCTTCAGATCTGTACCATCAAGCCAACACTCCAGGATGAAAGAGATTCTTTTCACAGTTTGACCATTAGGCATTTATCTGAAAACATGTGTGCAATCTCTTTTGTTATTTCAATCAAATGTGACCTGATACTAGGTGTGATTTTCGAGACAATGTATTGTAACAGCGGGAGGAGTTGTCCCCCTTACACCATAATATTGCATATTGAGCTTGGTTTGACTTTTCAAAGTTGTCTCTTATGACCCTTAGGGGGTCTTTACGTTTTATGGCGGTGGGGTAGTCTAGTGATTCCCAACATCCCCCCGCCAGATATTGAAGGATTATTACATTATGAGCAGCCTAAAACCATACTCACTCACTCAATATCCGTTGTTGTTTTTGTAGAATAGGTCTTCAGCATCCCATTCTTGCCGTAAAAGCCTAGTATGCTTGTCGTAAGAGGCGACTAACGGGATCGGGTGGTCAGGCTCGCTGACTTGGTTGATGAATGTCATTAATCCCAATTGCATGGATCGATGCACATGATGTCAATCACTAGATTGTCTGGTCCAAACTCGATTAATTACAGACAGCCGTCATATAGCTGGAATATTGCTGAGTGCGGCGGTAAACAACAAACAAACAAACAATATCCGTTTTACAAGTAATATGGCTGCGGAATATGAAAAGGACTCTCCGTGTTGACTTGTGCTATCCAAGGTAAGGCAAACGTTAGAAAGCAGAGAGATTATGAGTGGCTAGAATCGTTAGAGAACAAGACCTGGAGGCGAAGTTTCTCGATTCCGGGGATGGTATAAACTTGACCTTGGTAGTTCAAAAGGGGACGGTGATAACTTCACATTAGAGATGTGGACATACGCCAGTATAGGCGTCTTGAAAGATGATTACTGACAAAGGAGTGGATATATCTGGAATACTGAACTGTCTGAAATACATCCTAGATGTAAGTCACCTTGCATCGAAATACGTATGGGGAGATATACTGGTCTATGACAGTACAGAGAAACTAAGAATCATAGGTCGGCATGTTTAAACCAGAAGCAAACAGAACTGCAGATAAAGGAAGAATTAATGTTAGGGAGTTATGGGATTGCCACATCTAAACCTAGAGTTGCTAGTGTGTTTGGTGCTACCCCGAAGACTGACAACATGATAAGACTCACTCCACGATGAGAGTTTCCGCGGGAAAAGATATGAATTATTACATGGTAAAGTGTGAGTGCTCATACTTGGACTTAAGGGACGGTAAAAAGTGGATCACCAAGGTAGTTTCCTCGCAAAGGTTGATTTCAAGGGTGGTTCAGATCAATACGACTGCACCCAAGTAACCATGATCAGAGTAGTGCTGTACTACCTCTACTTGTAGCATAAAAAGCTACCTTTTGCTGCAGCAAAGAGCCCTAAGATATTTCAAACCTTCAGTTCGGCAGTGTGTTGCCTAACGAAAGTGCGGCATAACGTGAGGGTTTATAGCCCACATAGAGACTGATTGTGTACAGTTCAGTCGAAGAATGTGCAGGAGCTCTGGCTTAGTTGATTTCTGTGTTGCAGATGTTGTCTTGCCGACTTGAGGGTCACTAATAGTTGATCACCCCAGGCAGTTTCCTCGCAAAGGTTGACCTCATGAGTGCGTACTGATCTTTATTACTTGCCAGATCAACCGTTGAAGAGATAATCGGTTTAATAAACACACAGCTGTATCACACATTGAGTAAGACCAAAGCCCGTGGTAATGTACTGCGGGAAGAAGTTTCACTAACAAATGTTGAATTCTCTCAACATCCCAGGGCTTATTCAACGACAACGAACCAAGTCAGCGACCCTGACCACCCGATCCCCTTAGTCGCCTCTTTCATACCCATTGGAATATGATAACATACCCATAGTAATATGATAACATACCATAGGAAAGAAGCTCATCTATAAAAGGTACCATACACCGAATATTAACAGGAATCTAATCCTTCGGCAGAGAAGCTCCAAATGCTTCCATTGCCAATAGCTTGCGTTTGCTACACCTTTGAATATAACGACGATATACATTACTCCTCCTGAATCTAACATCTTGGATCTGCCGCCCGGTAAACCCTATTTTAAACACCCAACTAGCTCCCGCCTTTCTGAAAGTATGACCTGTCAATACGTCACTCACGTCCCTTTCCTGTAAAATATGATTTACAACTCCAATAAAAATGTCATAAGACAAGGCGTTATGTTGCTTATCACACACTTGTTGTATTATTAGCTGCATGTGTTCATGTTACAGTAACAAGGTCCGCATGACGTCTTATCCAAGTTGAGTAGATAGATGTTCATGATGTCAATCACTGGACTGTCTTGTTCAGACTCGATAATGCCATCAAGTCATTTTGCATATGAGCATGTCCGTGTTGTGTTTTCCGTAGTACAGCTAAAGAAAGGGCAACACCCTATTTATGCCACAATATACCAACACCCAGGGAGATATACTGGCCTTGTGTGGACCACCTAAGGTATTGTGCTTCCCCGTTTCGTACGTACTACGCCACGAGGCAACTCAAAGTGAAACAATGTGGGTCTTGTTTCCATGCAGTTCCAACTTGATTCGCCTGCTCTTGTGAAAATGGATATTTTAACCACACTGACAAGATATGTCAACTTGCAACATGAATTTTTAGACGTTGTCCTACAACGAATCCAATTCTATGAAACAGAAAAATGATGGATCAGCCCTTCAGTAAAACACAAACTTAATAATAACGGTACTGTGAAAGGTAGGAGTCAAGAAGTCCTACATTACTGTAGCCATTAGCGAGTGAGTGGCCTACATTACTATAGCCATCAGTGAGTGAGGGCCTACATTACTGTCGCCATTAGTGAGTGAGGGGCCTACATTACTGTAGTCATTAGTGAGTGTGTGAGGGGCCTACATTACTGTAGCCATTAGTGAGTGAGAGGCCTACGTTACTGTAGTCATTAGTGAGTGAGTGAGGGGCCTACATTACGGTAGCCATTAGTGAGTGAGTGAGTGAGGGGCCTACATTACTGTAGCCATTACTGAGTGAGTGAGTGAGGGGCCTACATTATTGTAGCCATTTGTGAGTGAGTGAGTGACTGAGGGGCCTATACTACTGTAGCCATTAGTGAGTGAGTGAGTGAGGGGCCTACATTACTGTAGTCATTAGTGAGTGAGTGAGGGGCCTATACCACTGTAGCCATTAGTGAGTGAGTGAGTGAGGGGCCTACATCACTGTAGCCATTAGTGAGTGGGTGAGAAAGTGGCCTACATCACTGTAGCCATTAGTGAATGAGTGAATGAGGGGCCTACATTACTGTAGCCATTAGTGAGTGAGTGAGGGGCCTACATCACTGTAGCCATTAGTGAGTTGGTGAGTGAGGGGCCTACATTACTGTAGCCATTAGTGAGTGAGTGAGGGGCCTACATCACTGTAGCCATTAGTGAGTGGGTGAGTGAGTGGCCTACATCACTGTAGCCATTAGTGAGTGGGTGAGTGAGGGGCGTACATCACTGTAGCTATTAGTGAGTGGGTGAGTGAGTGGCCTACATCACTGTAGCCATTAGTGAGTGAGTGAGGGGCCTACATCACTGTAGCCATTAGTGAATGAGTGAGGGGCCTACATCACTGTAGCCATTAGTGAATGAGTGAGTGAGGGGCGTACATCACTGTAGCCATTAGTGAGTGAGTGAGGGGGCCTACATCACTGTAGCCATTAGTGAGTGGGTGAGTGAGGGGCCTACATTACTGTAGCTATTAGTGAGTGAGTGAGTAAGGGGTCTACATCACTGTAGCCATTAGTGAGTGAGTGAGTAAGGGGTCTACATCACTGTAGCTATTAGTGAGTGAGTGAGTAAGGGGACTACATCACTGTAGCCATTAGTGAGTGAGTGAGGGGCCTACATCACTGTAGCTATTAGTGAGTGAGTGAGTAAGGGGTCTACATCACTGTAGCCATTAGTGAGTGAGTGAGTGAGGGGCCTACATTACTGTAGCCATTAGTGAGTGAGTGAGGGGCCTACATCACTGTAGCTATTAGTGAGTGAGTGAGTAAGGGGTCTACATCACTGTAGCTATTAGTGAGTGAGTGAGTAAGGGGCCTACATCACTGTAGCCATTAGTGAGTGAGTGAGGGGCCTACATCACTGTAGCCATTAGTGAATGAGTGAGTGAGGGGCGTACATCACTGTAGCCATTAGTGAGTGAGTGAGGGGGCCTACATCAGTGTAGCCATTAGTGAGTGGGTGAGTGAGGGGCCTACATTACTGTAGCTATTAGTGAGTGAGTGAGTAAGGGGTCTACATCACTGTAGCCATTAGTGAGTGAGTGAGTAAGGGGCCTACATTACTGTAGCCATTAGTGAGTGAGTGAGTGAGGGGCCTACATCACTGTAGCCATTAGTGAATGAGTGAGTGAGGGGCCTACATCACTGTAGCCATTAGTGAATGAGTGAGTGAGGGGCGTACATCACTGTAGCTATTAGTGAGTGGGTGAGTGAGGGGCCTACATTACTGTAGCCATTAGTGAATGAGTGAGTGAGGGGCCTACATCACTGTAGCCATTAGTGAATGAGTGAGTGAGGGGCCTACGTCACTGTAGCCATTAGTGAGTGGGCGAGTGAGGGGCCTACATTACTGTAGCCATTAGTGAATGAGTGAGTGAGGGGCCTACATCACTGTAGCCATTACTGAGTGAGTGAGGGGCCTACATCACTTTAGCCATTAGTGAGTGAGTGAGTGAGGGGCCTACATTACTGTAGCCATTAGTGAATGAGTGAGTGAGGGGCCTACATTATTGTAGCCATTAGTGAGTGAGTGAGGGGCCTACATCACTGTAGCCATTAGTGAGTGGGTGAGTGAGGGGCCTACATTACTGTAGCCATTAGTTAGTGAGTGAGGGGCCTACATCACTGTAGCCATTAGTGAGTGAGTGAGGGGCCTACATCACTGTAGCCATTAGTGAGTGGGCGAGTGAGGGGCCTACATTACTGTAGCCATTAGTGAATGAGTGAGTGAGGGGCCTACATCACTGTAGCCATTAGTGAATGAGTGAGTGAGGGGCCTACATTACTGTAGTCATTAGTGAGTGAGTAAGGAAGCGAACATTACTGTAGCCATTTGTGAGTGAGTGAGAGGCCTACATTACTGTAGCCATTAGTGAGTGAGTGAGGGGCCTACAGTACTGTAGCCATTAGTGAGTGAGTGAGGGGCCTACATTACTGTAGCCATTAGTGAGTGAGTGAGGGACCTACATAACT